AATGTAAGCAGGTTATAGCCAGTACAAGTATATTCAGGTGTCAGGTTTAGAGGGCTTTAGCTAGTACAAATAAATTCAGGTATCAAGGTAAGAAAGCTATAAACAGTACAAGTATATTCAGGTATCAAGGTAATAGGGCTATTGTTAGTACAAGTATATTCCGTTATCAAGGTAAAAGGGCTATAACCAGTACATGTACATGCAGGTATCAAGGTAATATAGCTAAAGCCAGTACAAGTATATTTAGGTATCAAGGTAATAGGGCTATAACTAGTACAAGTATATTCAAGTATCAAGGTAAGAGGGTTACAGCTACGGTAAATATCTCCAGGTAAAATGGTAAGAGAGCTACGACCATTACAATATTTCAAGGGAACAAGGAGAGTTATAACCTGTAAGAATGTAAGATGGCTATGTCCATTGTTAATATCTCCAGGTTAGTAAGTAAGAGTGGTAGGGCCATTGCAAATATCCCCAGGTAAGAAGGTAAGAGGGTAGTTATTGCAAATATTGCAAGGTAAGAGGGTAAGTATTGCAAATATTGCCAAAATAAAAAGAAATAAAATGTGACATACATAATACTTATGTTTTCACTCTATTCAGAACCTGTTGCAGTTATGATGTGTATGTTAAGAACGCTAGATTTACGTCCCTTTATTTATTTAGCTTTTACAACATACCATATCCTTTAGGCAAAATATAACTGTTGATTTAGAAATGAAAATGAAATATAAAAAATGAAATAAGCTTAATGTACAGACAAAAAAAGAACAAAGAAAGAAACAATGTACTTCTTTTCCTGTAGGACACAAGTACATGTAGTTGTGAGAAAGTACCTGCCACATTTAACAGTTATTTCAGTATTATAGTGAAATATGAAAATGTTTATATATTGTAAATCAATTTACGGTCTTTGCACATTTAGGACACTAGCCCAAATGCGAACAATGCAGGGAATGATCTATCCTCTCGCCGGTAAATCCGGAACTCCGATGTTCAATAGTATTATCGACGAAGTGTAATGTTGCCAGTACATATTATGACACGGCAGTCTCTCTCTCTCTCTCTCTCTCTCTCTCTCTCTCTCTCTCTCTCTCTCTCTCTCTCTCTCTCTCTCTCTCTCTCTCTCTGTGTAAGGTTATATGTTGTCCCTATAAAGCCACGTATACATTCAGAAATAAAGCCGCTTATAACGCCTGCTTTGCTTAAAAATGCATTGTACAACTCATGCAGTGTTTTGAATTACTTACAAAAAATAGGAGTTACCTAATTGTGAACAAAAGTTCATATATAAAATTTGAATTAAGTGAATGCTTTGCTGGTTAATCTTCTTTTCCCATTGTAATTGCTTGCTCCAATTGCAAAAACTGTTCTAATTCAGACATAAAACCCGTAACTGCATATGAATATATATATATATATATATATATATATATATATATATATATATATATATATATATATATATATATATATATATATATATATATATATATATATGTCCAGAAAGATAGACACACCCATACACAAATGTATATTATTCGTCAATGTTCTTACTCCATTCCTTTTCCTTACAGGACATAAAAAATGAATTTCAAAAATGAGATTATATGATATCGTTACAAAGGAGTAGGTAGATTTAAATTGATTATATGAATCTAACATCAGTGTTTTTCAGACGTACATACATACATACATACATACATACATACATACATACATACATACATACATACATACATACATACATACATACATACATACATACATACATACATACATACATACATACATACATACAAGTAATAAATGCAACATACCTTTCTAACATCATTTGGTACGACTATAGTCTATGACGAAAACTCACCAGAATCGGAAAATCAACTCTGAGCCGAATCAAACGTCAAAAGTTTGATGTGCTGTTCACGCTACTCTTGTTTCCCATCCACGAATATGTGAAATGTCCTAACATATCTCGATTCTGAACTATAATAAATGGTAAGATCTCGCTCCCTGACACCTTTATTACTGCCAATGCTATTGATGATGAGTTCAAATAATTGGTCTCTTTTGATTACGTATGGCATTACCTTTAAGATCAGTTTCCATCACCAATTTTTTTTCTGCCATTATTTCTCTAAAAAATATATTCAGGGTATTCGATTTACCTTTCAAAACACCAGGGAATATGCATCTGAGACGGACTTGTTCGTCACAGTCTATTTGGTCAAATTTCTTTGAATCTAATTTGTGCATGTGTAATTCTTAAAAAAAAAACAACAACAAAAAAAAATACAAACAAAAAAAAAACAAAAAAAAACGACCCCCCCCAAACAATTACTCTCCGCTCCCCGCTCCCACCTATCTCCACCCCACAGTCACATAATGTGATAATCCACATCTCGCGACTAATCTCTGGGGCATTCGAAATCGGCCATACAGCAGACACGAGATTAATTAAATATTTTTTACAAGATAAATGAATGTCAAAAACTAAAGAATTCTCACTTACTCAGTTCCTGGAGTGGTTCGTGAATGTAGAATATGTCCGATGCGCCCTCTTGCGGTGGAAGAGGGCACTAATAGAGGTCTGTACGATGAATCGGTGATGGTGTCCAATTAAGAAAGTCTTTAATTTTCTTCTTTTTTAAAGTGTTTTTTTTTTTTTGCAAAGGATTTGAAGATTGTACAGAAATAAATCTCACCTTTTTGTAAGTATTTTTTAACCCCTTTTTAACCTTAGCTTTGGTTTGCTTGCTCTTTTTGTGGTATTTGTGCCACATCGTAACATGGTATATGTTGTCTTATGATGAATATCTACTTTTGATTAGACTGGATTTACCTCTCTGGAAATTTTAGCAATAATATGCCATTTTTTCCACCTATTGTTCGGAAATCCATCCATCCATCCTCATACTAAACTCAAATTTCTACCGCGTAATTCGTCTTTATTTTGACTTTTTCCAATCAGACAAAATTCTTTTGAGATGGGTATGGTAGTTCTTGTATACATTAGGTTATTATAGCACTCTTGTTTCCTGGAGATATTTGCAATGGTCATATCCATCATGACTTGTTCCCTGGATATATTTGCAATAGTCATGGCCTTCTTTCCCTGTTACCCGGGGACATTTCAAATAGTCATAACATTCTTAACATCTCACCTGAAGATATTTGTATTGGCCATATATAACCTTGTTTTTTTTTTTAATTTGAATTATGCCTAGTATTCTAAATGTGACAATGACCGTAAATATTCGATACAATATTTCCATATATACAGTATTGTACTATAAATTATCTATACAATTTGGCAGGTATATTCTCAAAATCAAATGGGCATACACATATATGTACTACAGAAAATGAAGTAAATTGCTGTGGTTTTTTTTGTTTGAACTTTAAGAACATTTTAAAAATACTTTTTTTTTCAGCGAAAAGAGTGATGTAGCATTTTTATGTTACCATAATATTACACATAAGGTGCAGAAGCGAAAAGGAAAGGGGGGTAATTCTATCGGTCTTATTAGTCATACCGTACTTGCAGTATATTCTGAATAGAGCAAAACTGAACAAGCGTTACGGATTTTACAATTAATGTTAACTGCAGAAACGTCCACAGATCATGTACCAACTTATCATATATTGCCTTTAATGTAAACCGATCATCCACCAAACTTGTTAGCGATTGCCTTTAATGCACAAAGATGACCGATCAGACTTCAGCGATTGTCTTTATCCATTCACCACACATATCATCGATTGCCTTTAATGTATACAGATAATCCATTAGATTTGTCATGGATTGCCTTTAATGTACACAGATCATCCACCAGATTTTTGTTAGCGAATTCCTTTAATGTTCACAGATAATCCACCGGACTTGTCATCGATTGCCTTTAATGTACACAGATCATCCACCAGACATGTAGGCGATTGCCTTTAATGTACACAGATCATCCACCAGACTTGTTGGCAATTGTTTTTAATGTACACAGATCATCCACCAGACTTGTTAGCAATTGTTTTTAATGTACACATATCATCCGCCAGACTTGTTAACGATTGCCTTCAATATACACATATCATCCACCAGACTTGTTAGCGATTACCTTTAATGTACACAGATCATCCGCCAGACTTGTAGGCGATTACCTTTAATGTACACAGATCATCCATCAGACTTGTTAGCGATTGCCTTTAATGTACACAGATCATCCACCAGACTTGTTAGCGATTGCCTTTAATGTACACAGATCATCCGCCAGACTTGTAGGCGATTGCCTTTAATGTACACAGATCATCCACCAGACTTGTTGGCGATTGCCTTTAATGTACACAAATCATTCACCAGACTTGTAGACGATTGCCTTTAATGTACACAAATCATCCACTAGACTTGTTAGCGACTGCCTTTAATGTACATAGATCATCCACCAGACTTGCAGGCGATTGCCTTTAATGTACACAGATCATCCACCAGACTTGTTGGCGACTGCCTATAATGTACTTGATTGTAATGATATTTTAATTTTCAAGGACACACATGTAAAATGATGTTAGTTTCCAATTGTGTCACATTGTTGAAATAATTAGCGAAGACTGTTTAAGGCTGCAAATCTCAAACTCTTAAGTGTCATGTCAGTCTTCTCTGAGATTAAATCATTATCAGAGTTGAAGACATTCAGGTCATCAGATGTTATGGATAGCTTTTCTAAGTTAGCATCTAAAAACTGACCGGAAAGGAAATGAAAAGACAAGACAAATTGCTCTTCTTAGTGAAAATTTATTTATATATATATATATATATATATATATATATATATATATATATATATATATATATATATATATATATATATATATATATATATATATATCAAAACGATACAAAAATAAAAGATAAAAAAACTGTGCAATTTCCATGACCAATCTTCGCTAGAAAAGGTTCCGATAACCATATCTACACCTTGTCATATCGAGCAGATATTTCTAAGCTTCGGTTCAGTTAAATTCATTGGTTAGAACGTCCGCCTCGGATGCGGGAGGTCGTGGGTTCGAACCTCGGCCGATTCATAAAAAGACGTATAGCAATGGTACAAACAGCTGCCTCGCTAGGTGCTCAGTTTTAAGAGGTTAATATTCGGACTGTTCGGCCTGGTGTTAGGATGATTGTGACTGGGTGGGACATCATGCTACACGTCCCACTGCTATACATCACGATATATTGCCGCATACCAGCGATACGACTGAAAAATTGTTATAGCTACGTTAAAAATCACACACATACACACGCACGCACGGACGCACGCACACACACATCTTCATCGATCCTTCATAATACAATATATTGTACCTAAAGGGAACAAGTCGTGAAGGCCACGAAACCCGATGGTCAGAGCTATTTATAGATACATGGTGACATCATTTATGTCTGCACAATTCAAATTCTGCCCAGCAAAATTTCCAAATAAAATAAAACCTCTGAAACTTGTCAAACTCATAGACCATTTAGTTGGCAGTATTCAAAGTCGAAAAAGCGCATAGCATACACACACACACACACACACACACACACACACACACTATATATATATATATATTATGTATGTATATATATATATATATGTATATATATTATATATATGTATGTATGTATGTATGTATGTATGTATGTATGTATGTATGTATGTATGTATGTATGTATGTATGTATGTATGTATGTATGTATGTATGCATGCATGCATGCATGCATGTATGTATGTATGTATGTGGACAAAGCTGCACCTGCTGACTCCGCAAAGGATTATGCAATATCAAAATTACTTTGCTACGCATTTGTACGGGATTCCACTGGTATCACGTGATAACACCTAACTATTGTTGGCAAGGAGAATTTGGTCTTTCATAAAAAAAAAACAAAAAAAAAAAACAGGTAACATTATCCAGGAAAAATCATGAAACTAACCTTTACAATGATGCAGGGGCATCGTCTTTTGAAGTTATTTTAGTTATTTTTATATTAAGCAAGGTTAGAAAATAACGAAAAGTTGCATGATTTCCTTGTTAATATGCGTTCTTAAGGAGGAGCCATACCCACGATTCACAGCCAATCAGGTGAGGTGTTCTGGGAAAAGCCCTCTGAGCGTAATCAAAATTGTCGATAGTCTTTCCCGCTGACATTTCTTTGCTTGAGATCGAACTGATTACATCTGACACCGCATAACTATTGTACTGATTATTCCTTTGTCGGATTATTGTTTCAAGCAGGGATTAATTACCAGTGAAATGACGTTCCCAGATGTGTTGGAAGAAACTGAACAGAAAACCGAGTTGTAAGTGTGAATTTAACACTTAACTTAAGATTACTACGGTATATATGAACTATGGATCAAATATTGATATTCTTTATATTCAATTTTATGTAGCTCGTCTGCAGTGGAGATATTTGTCGTAGCAGCTATATAATGTAAAATCATTTTATTAAAAAGTAAAGAAGATTTTTCCTGAGTGATGCAACAAAAACTGTTTTTTTTAAACAGACCTATACTAATAAGATAATTTTTGGGAGACGTGAATGAAGAAGCAATACGTGCTACTCGGATCGAATAAATCTATCCGCGATTTAAAATATCAGCAGTGGTGACATCTACAAATAAAAATATCTTTACATTTGCCTTCCTGTGCGTTTTTTTTTAAATGAAAATTTCGACTGGGTGATGAAAAACGTGTGAATAAGATAAATCTTGACATGTGGCTGAGCCTTTTTATAACACCTTCTGAATTCAGAAGATGTGTACTACGAAATGCCGTTTAGCAAGTATGAGCACTCATTTAATATCATGTAGTTACAATATCATTCATTTTTCTTAATAACTAAACCTACTAGGTTTCCGTTACAGAGATACAACGAACGTGAAAACTGCCGAGTTTCTGCAGAAGTTATTGCTGAAAGCAATGTCCGAGGGAAGGCTAACCAGTGGAATGTTTGAGTGTGCAAATGTTTTCCGAACGTAAGCATGTCAATAACTTTTCACATTATATTAAATAGTGGGTGGTTTACAACTAAATACGTGACTTTTTGCAAACATACGGACAAAAATAGCAGGAAACATTTTCAGATTAATACTATAAGAAATATCCAAAACAATTGGACTGAAAGGGCGGTATAAATATCAATTCAGTATAACCCTTTCTGACGAAACGATAGCTGCAGTTGGTGAGAGGGGATAATATGAAGCTACAGGTTTGATAACCTATTTTCCAATATTTTCCTTTGTTTCGTTTTTGACCTTGCAAAAAGAACGACTCTTCTGTCTCAAATTGTTTATAATTCATAGTGAGGTTTTATTCTGCATTTTCTTCAGTAATGTAATGTTTAAGTACACGACATCAACATATTCAGTTTTTTTTTTTAGCAATTTTTCGTTGACTGATTGAGATTGTATGGTTTTTTTTCAGGGATCCTGAAAAAGTAAGACTGTGTATTTTGCCAGTGTCAGCATCCACAGACGTGTCTGTCCGTATTCAACATAAACTAATTGAAGCCTACTGCTGGGAAAACGAGATACA